CCTTTTTGGGAACTCACGTTCAGAGAATCTCACCAGTTCACCTATGCCGTTGCCATCTTGCCCCGTCTCCCATGTACATACATTTTCAAAACATGTGGACTAGTCAGTGACACGGCATCCTTCCTTCAAGGTATAAGGAAAGCTCTGAGATAACCATGCATTACTACTCTGCCTAAAGTTTAACATATTGCTCTTGTGATTTCCCCCGCCCCATTCCGAAGGCTTATTAGAAGAAGACAACCAGTGGATGACCCAGATAAACAGACTCCAGAAATTAATTGATAGACTGGAAAAGAAGGTGAGTGCTTCTTTTTCTGTATTCTCTCTCTCACTTTTTAAGATATTCTGACCCAATATTCTTTGTTGCTTCAAAATCCATGGCTGCCCATAGACAGAGTAATATCCAGGATCCCAGTGAGTCTATGAATGGCTCCTTGAAAGTTATTTGGAGGTTTTGTTATGGTTAGAGCAAATGTAGAGGCTCATGTTAATTCTCCCTTTACCTCCTTCCCCTGATTATAATTTAAAATAGGATGTAAGGTTGAGAGTTAAATCTACTGCGTTGCCTGCCTTTTAGGTTGTCAAGTGGTATAGGTGGCAGTATGCTTGAATGGTACTATTGGCAGCTCTTAGGGACGACTTGGTTTAAGTCTTCTAACCTTTTAGAGTAATTCAAAGAAATGGCAGAGATATATACTAAATGATGAGATTCTAAACTCAACTTCTTGAAATTAGCAGACTACAGATGATTTTGGCATTAAAACTATATGGTAAGCAAGTAAGTTAAGATGTGATAGTGAGTTATTCAGAACTATATTTTATATTCCTAGTTATATTATTGATTAATTTGGTTAGTATCAGCTAGTCCTGATATTGTAGTAACATTCTCCTTAAACAACTTTGATGGTAGAGACAACTTTTGTCAATCAATAAGAGAATGTGTTTTCAGTGCATGCCAGCCACCAAGGAATAAACATTTATGTTTGTGACAGTCACTGACTTTGAAGAACCCATAATCTATTTATAAAAATAAGTTATAGCCAGGCTCGGTGGCTCAGCCTGTAATCCCGCGCCTTTGGGAGGCTGAGGTGAGTGGATTGCCTGAGCCTGCGGGTTTGAGACCCGCCTGGGCAGCGAGACCTCATCTCTACAATAAAAATAAAAAAATCAGCTGGGTGTGGTAGTGCATGCCTGTAATTTCGGCTACTCGGAAGGTTGAGGTGGAAGGATTGCTGGATCCTAGGAGGCGAGGCTGTGGTTGGCCAGAAGCGGCCACTGCACTCCAGTCTGGGCGACCGAATGAGACTCTAACTCAAAAAAAAAAAAAAAAAAAAAGTTATACTCTTAAAAAGAGAGAGAGAGAGAACAGATTTTTCCAAATATGTGGTGGCACAGAATTATATTCATAGTTGATGCTCAGCAAATATTTACTCACTGACTGAGACATGCTAAAGTAATGAAGTAGATGCTAAAATCTGTTGATGCTCACCTAAGGAATTGATTACTGTGACTTGAGCGCTCAGGAAAGACTTCATGCAGTAGGACGTGTTTAAGCAGGGCCTTAAAAATGGTGACTCAATTGAAAATTTGAGTGCAAGCAACAGAAATCACTTCTATAATCAAAAAGTGTTTTCCAGAAGGATATTAAAGTACTCACAGAATCAACAGATAGTCTTAGAGACCTGAATTCAGGAAAAGTCAGGAGACAAGATAACTCTTGAGATTTAGAGAGCAAAAAATACTCAACAGTCTCTTGAGTTACAAAGGAGTCCTAACCATTTCCAGCCTGTTGGCTTCTGCTCAAAATTCCACTTCCCTGGAGGGAGAGTCTGACTGGTCTTGTTAGGGCTGCATGCTGGTCTCCTGAATAGGGGAGAGGAAAACACTTTGATTAACAATTTCAGAGCACAGGATCAAAGGAGAAGAGATAATTTACTGAAAGACTCTATTGTCACTAAAATTGGAATAAATGCTGATTTCAAACTAAAAAAACTAATATTTACTATGGAAAAGTAAAATTTAGTAAATAGCAGTTGGAAAAAAGGATTCAGGTAAGACGATGGCATAAACAAAGTTTAAGTAGATCAACATGGTTAAGAGTGTTTTATTTATGAAAATAGTGACAAATAAGGTTGTATGGACAAATAGGGAGCAGATCATGGATGGCCTTAAAAAATAGACTAAGAGATTTGGACTTGGTTTTGGAGACAACAGGAGGCAATTATTATTTTTCATCAAATGAGTGACAATCCAAAAAGATGCGTTATATAGAAAATTGGGCAGCAAAATGCGAAGTGAATGAAGACAAATGCAAAATGAATTAAAACGAGAAAATTGGGCCAGAAAGGCTTGCTTATTCCTATAATTTTAGTGCTTTGGGAGGCCCAGGTGAGAGGATCACTTGAGGCCAAAAGTTCAAGACCACAATGGGCAGCATGAGACTTCATCTCTACAAATTAAAAATTAAAAAAATTAGCCAGATATGGTGATGCACACCTATAGTCCTAGGTACTCAGGAAATTGAGGTGGTAGGATAGTTTGAGCCCATGAATTCGAGGCCATAGTGAGCTATTGTTGTACCACTGCACTCGAGTCTGGGCAACAGAGTAAGACACAGTCTCTAAAACAAAAACAAAAACAAAATAATAAGAAACGTGAGGTCCAGAGTAACTAGAACTAGTTAAGACAATGACATTACTGAGTAACTTTGTGCACCTGAATCCATTGGGATTATATATGGCAAGAGATGGGTCTGGTTTAAGTTAGTGAGAAGAAAATAGCAGATTTGAAAGACCTGAAATGAAATGAACAGCACTATTGAAAGGATATGCTGAATAAAGAAAAGGGGGAGCTCAAACAATAATCTAATTGGTAACTTTTTTAATAGAGTGATTTGAGTTACTAACTCAGAAATGAAACAAAGGGCAACAACCAAAAAAAGAGAAAAAAGAAAAAGAATCTGATAGGAGCTTGTGTGTCAATTAATGATAACAGAAAAGAGGGAGACAAGTGAGAGATAATTTGTGAGGTGAGGTGAGGTAAGAGGTGACCTGGCTTTTTAGATATGTTAATTTCTAGGTACACCTAGTCAGATGCTAGTAAGAGAGAAGTCAGGCCTATAGGTTAAGGTTTCAAGAGCCATCTCCACAAAGATGGTTATTTAAATCTTAAATCCAGAGGATGGGTAAGTTCTCTCAAAAGGAGATGCTGTAAAAGAAGAGGAAGTTCAGGGAAACAAACTTGGAGAGTTCCAATCTCTCTGCCAATGTTAATTTACTAAATTTACATTGACCACTTACTGGAGCAAACACCTAAACTACAAGATTACTACAAATCAATTTTCTTCCTCCTTATTTTATTAACTGATCTGTAAGCTAGACTAAAAAAAAATCATAGAAAAATAGTGGCTATGAAAATTCGTTTTCCAATATTAGAAGACCTGGAAATCCAAAACCTCTATGTGAAAACCCAAGCTTATTAAAACATAAGGATTCAGATGTTAAGTAAGTTTGAATTTATTTAAAGAACATAAATACTTCTTTTAAAAAGTAGTTTTGAAGTTCTGAACAAAACTGTCTGTTTGGTACTGAACAAAACTGTCTTTATTTGGTATCTGAAATTTATATAGTTATTTTTAAAGGAATGGCTCAGACTTAGTTCATCCTTTTTTTCCAACTTTAAATCAAAGAATTGTCAAATCTCTTTCTTTCCTAGGCTTTTTTCTCCCCCTTTTTCTATGAAAGGTTTTATTTGAGCAGAGTCTATGAGGTTTGCTGAAAGTACAATATGATGGTTTTCAACTCTGGCCATGTGGAGCTCAGCGTGAGCTGTCTTAATGAATGGAGAGGCAATGCAAGTTCAGTTTTCTTCTGCAACTTATTCTGTACTATGCTGAATTAGGTTTTTAGAGAAAAACTACCCAATTGCCAAACAGTGGCTGAGTACACGTCATCTCACTGCTGACTACCTTGTCTCCTACAGTTGTTAACACTAGATTTGATCTCCCATTAAAAAGTCCTGTGGTGGATCATATGTTATCTTTTCTCTCCATTAAGTATTTATAATAAATCCTTTCTGCACTGAAACCAAGTGCCAGTCCATTCATGTGGGGTAATGTAACACTTGCAATTTCTACAAGTTTCTTCAGGTATTCCTTCTATCCATTCCATTTGAGGGTACCTGTGATGTACCTGTAGTGGATCATATGCTATTTTTTCTCTCCTTTTTTTGTATTTATGGGGATATACTGAGGTTATATCTTATGTTTTGCTTGATCTCTGCAGAAAACACTTTCTTTTTTTTTTTGAGTTGGAGTCTCACTCTGTCGCCCAGACTGGAGTGCAGTGGCCACTCCCGGCCACCGCAGCCTCGACCTGCTGGGCTCCGGTGATCCCTCCGCCTCAACCTTCCAAGTAGCTGGAATTACAGGCATGCGCTACCACGCCCGGCTGATTTTTTGATTTGTTGTAGAGATGAGGTCTCGCCAAGTTGCCCAGGCGGGTCTCGAACCCATGGGCTCAGGCAATCCACTCACCTCAGTGCGGGATTACAGGCTGAGCCACCGAGCCCGGCTATCTTTTTTTCCTTAATAAATCCTTCTTTTTATTTTTGAGTTAGAGTCTCACTCTGTCGCCCATGCTGGAGTGCAGTGGCCGCTCCCGGCCACCGCAGCCTCGACCTACTGGGCTTCGGTGATCCCTCCGCCTCAGCCTTCCATGTAGCTGGAATTACAGGCATGCGCTACCACTCCCAGCTGATTTTTTGATTTATTGTAGAGATGAGGTCTCGCTGCCCAGGTGGGTCTCGAACCCGCGGCTCAGGCAATCCACTCACCTCAGCCTCCCAAAGGCATGGGATTACAGGCTGAGCCACTGAGCCTGGCCAGAAAACACTTTTAATGTTAAACAAAACAATAAAGACAGCAATAAAACCCTTTCATTCTTCATGAAATCCTCAGTATCACAGGACATTCTCATTTGAAGGAATGTAATTAAGAATGTTACACTCATACAACTTATCTTAAGTATTTCTTATTTTAGATCAGGGAAGATAGAACTGAACAGTGTACCTGAATTGTTATCAGGGAAATAGTGACCAAGGTGATTACTATGCTAAAGTTTCCATCTATAGAGTACTTTTTAATTTTCAATTCATATTTATATGCATTATATATAATTTGACCCTCATGGAAAGCACTGAAGATAGGGCATTCATTAAGCCTTTCATTTATTCAGTATTTGTTGAGTATCAACATGTATCAGGTACTATTCTAGCAGTAGAAATAGAGCTGTAATCAAAAGAGGTAATATTCTTGGTCACTGGAGAGACAGACATAAAACAAGTAATCAAATTCATGAAGCAAGATAATTTCAGTTAATGGAAAGTGTTATGAGTAAAAAATAGAACAATATGATAGAGATGTGAGGGTGCTGAATCATTAAAGGCTATGTTCTGGGAAGGTCTCTCTAATAAGGACATGATATTTGAGTTGAGATATGAAAGACAAGAAGAAGTCAGCTAGATGAAATAGATGATTTAAAGCAAAGTGAACAGGAAAGTGAATCTCACAGAAGTTAAATAACTTGCCTAAAGTTCTATTATAAGAGAGCAGTGCAAGGCTGGGCGTGGTGGCTCATGCCTATAATTCCAGCACTTGGGAGGCTGAAGAGTTAGAATTTCTTGAGTCCAGGAGTTGGAGACCAGTTTAGGCAACATAGTGAGACCTTATCTCTGCAAAAAATAAAAATAAATAAGTTAGCTGACTGAGATGGCACTGCCTATAGTTCCAACTACTCGGGAGCCTGAGACGGAAGAACCGCTTGAGCCTGGGGGGTCAAGGTTGTGGTGAACCATTATCATGCCACTGCACTCCAGTCTGGGTGACAGAATGAGATGCCAACTAGAGAGAGAGAAAGAGTGAGAGAGAGAGCGGTACAGCTAGAGTTACATAGCTCTATTATTAACAAGCTTATGTTATGTTAGTCAGTCTGGATTTCTACAACTTTCTGTTTAATTTTTTTATCTATTTGAAGGAATTATTGTGTATAATTTTCACTTGGGAGCATGCTAGGATATAAATTCACAGGATGAAGTTCTCAGAGATGACAAACTTGGTTTCCCTGGGGACATTAGCATTATCTATTGATCGTTGCAGAAGACTCAAAGGTCTTTATGGGAGTCCTTCCATAGTATTTTCATTTATTTGTAATTCACTTTTTATTTAATAAATAAAATTAGTGCTAGAGTGTAAATGTATTATAACAATAGAGTGATGTTTATAATAGTCTCCCATAAAATGTAGAAATGTGGCCATACTCACAGTAAAATAAATCAGACTGCTAGACCTAGTCATTCTAACTTTTTCTTTTTTTTTTTAACCTTCCTGTTTTAATGTATCTCTCTCCTCCACTTTGCTCTCTGATGGCATCAGTGAAATAAACTTGATGCAATAACATACTGAACACATCTGTAACAATGAAAAAATTGGTACAAAGGGTCTTTATTGGAACAACTCAGTTTTTAAAAATGAGAATTATTTTATCTTTCAGATAATGAAGTTCTTCTTGTTCAGTATTAGCCATGAAAGAACTATGATTTGAATATATGGGTTTGTTTGAAGTTATCTTATTTCTGTCATTCTTCCTCTAATTGAAGGATCTCAAACTTGAACCACTGGAAGAAGAAATTATTGAAGGAAATACTAAATCTGTAAGTGCTTTTTCAAGGTAAAAAGTTTAGAAAAATATTATTTGAAAACATAGTTTATTCAAAAATTAGTTACTATATCAATGAAAAATTGAAAAAGTAAAAAGATATGTTTCATTATGCATGGTTAAGTAGTGTTTTCTAGATTGTGTTTTGTGTAAATTAATACCTACTTCACAGAGTTTTTGTGAAAGCACCTGGCTTGTAATAGTAATCAGTGCACAATGAAAATTTTATGGATGTATAAATCAAAGAGTTATTGAATAATTGAACGAATATAACTGAAAGAGAAGAGCAACATTCAAATAGCATCATAAACACATTTTGTAAATCCTGCTATGTTGAGCACTATCTATACCTGAGCTGAAACTCAGTTATATTCATTATTGAATTTCCAACTCTTAGCCTAGGGCCAGGCACATTGAAAATTCTCAGAAACAATTTTTTAAAGAATAAATTGATGTTGAGAGAAAAGGAAACGTTTATGTCCCTAAGGAAAAGATGTCCATCTAGAGCTGTAGCAGTTTACAGAAACTGAAAGAAAATGGACAAAGTGGTCCTAATAGGTACACTAAGATACAATAAAAATAAATTCGTAAATTAATTAATTAAAACACAACACATACCATGCTTTGTCACTTTATTTTTTGGCCAATATTTATAGCACATTCTGTTTCAGGACGTTCTGTTTACATTTACACTTAGTGGACATTTGGATCTTTAAAATCTTGGGTGCCTACAAGAAAATTTATTTTCTTATTTTATTTTATTTTATTTTATTTTTGAGTTGGAGTCTCACTCTGTCGCCCAGACTGGATTGCAGTGGCCGTTCCTGGCCACCACAGCCTCAACCTGCTGGGCTCCAGCAATCCTTCCGCCTCAGCCTTCCAAGTAGCTGGAACCACAGGCACGTGCTACCACGCCCGGCTAAATTTTTGATTTATTGTAGAGATGAGGTCTCGCCAAGTTGCCCAGGTGGGTCTCAAACCCGCGGGTTCAGGCAATCCACTCACCTCGGCCTCCCAAAGCGCAGAATTACAGGCTGAGCCACCGAGCCTGGTGAATTTATTTTCTTAATATCTTAAATGAATTATATGCTTTGTAGATGTTGAAGGGTCAGTCACATTTACATGAAACAAAGATAGGAAATACTTTTCATCTCTGAATCATGCAACTATTCCACAGATACTGACTACATGATAGAAGAAGGTGAGACCCACCTGTGTGTCAGATTCCTTCTCATCTATCCATACTCACAACACAAAGGGAATCTTCAGAGGAAGACTTGGAGGCTACTCAGAAAAGTTTAATAATGAATGCTACTATTAGAATCCTTCAATTAATGCATACTTTTCTTTGATATAAGCTGTATTTGTCACTTCATGTTTAGTGCCTTTATCCTTCCAAAGACAAAGATGTGGTCTGCATTAATTCATCAGGAATCCAGAATTTTTTGTTTTTTTAAATAAAGATGTGGGATATAATTCAGGGTTAGGTATACAAATGTTGATTATGCAGGTAGCCTTGTTGACGAGGTATGCCCCTCCCTCCCCTAGCAGTTTTCTTCAACTGTCAATCCCCCCCCAACAGTTTTCTATAGTATTATAATTATTCAAGGTCCACTTGTGAGTGAGAACATATGGTACTTTGTTCTTTGTTTCTGTGCTAGATCACTGAGTATGATCAACTCTAAATCCATTCAAGTTGCTGCAAAGTCCATATGCTTGTCCTTCTTTATGGCTGCATAATATTCCACTGTGTATATGTACCACATTTTTTTTATTCAGTCCAGCTTCGATGGACAACATGGTTCCATGTTTGTGCTATTGTAAATAGAGCTGCAACAAACTTATGTGTGCAGGTATTGTTTTTGTAGAATGATTTGAGTTCCTCCTGGTATATTACCAAAAGGGGAATTGTTGGGTCATATGGAAAGTCAATTTCTAGTTCTTTCAGATACCATCACACTGTCTTCCAAAGAGGTTGCACTAGTTTGCATTCCCACTAGCAGTGTAGAAACGTTCCTTTTTCTCCGCATCCTCGCCATCAAGAGTGCAAGGAGGCAGCCCACAGAATGGGAAAAAATATTTGCCAATTGTATATCTGACAAAGGCCTAACACTTAGGATCTATAAGGAACTGAAATGCACTAAAAGGAAAAAAACAAACAGCCCCATTAAAAGGTGGGCAAAAGACATGAATAGACACTTCTCAAAAGAAGATATATGGGCAGCCAACAGACACATGAAAAAGTATTCAGCCTCACTCATCATCAGAGAAATGCAAATCAAAACCACATTGAGATACCACTCAATCCCAGTAAGAATGGCTATCATTAATGAAACAAACAACAACAGATGCTGGTGAGAATGAGGAATCCAGAATTTTAAAGTGGTAGACTTTGGTGGGAAAATGAGGTGAAAGGAATGTTCAGCACACTTATTCAAACAGCAGAGTTGTGCAATCCCATAGGCACAGGAATTATTAACCTTTGGATAATGTATCTGTTATGGTCTTATAGGTTTACATGTAGGAAAAACTACACTACAGACAAGAAAAATGAACATAACTTTTCTAATGTTGTGATAGGTAGTTGTCTACTCTTAAATAATTTCCTAGTTTCTCTTTTTAGCTATAGGAAGAAAAATTGCCCAAGGATTGTTTGTGAAGGTGGCAGCTATTCCATTTGATGGTTGCTGACCAGACAATGCCAATGCCAATTTTAAAAGATGAACACACAAAACATTATTAATTTACTAGTGTCTAGAAATATCTTAAAAAAACAAGACTGGGAAAGAAGGTTCAGTTGTCAATATTGTTCAAAAGCAGGAAAGGATATTCCTTAACTATCTTCATGTGTAGAAGCAAAATAATTATGCTCTTTGGGAATAAACATATAGTAATGATTCGAACTGGTTTGTTTTTTCAAAAGTAACAAGATATTTGTCATTAAAAGTTGTATTTTTTTTATTAGTGGTAGTACAAGTATTGCTATCAATTCCTATAAAGTCCCCTATATTCAGAATGACCCAAATCACTTTTCACTGTTATTTCACAGCTAGTACTCATAATTATGTCCCACTATGAGTTCAATGATTTATTCTGATGCCCCAAACTAGTTTTAGAATTCATTGACTACAGAGATATTTTTCTTTTTCCAGTGAATGCACAAGAACTTTGAAAAATAAATTCCACATCAGGAGATAAAGAATAAATTTGTATTACACTTGGTTTTTTTAAAATGCTAATCTTTACTGATCCTTTGCTATGTGCCAACACATACACACATAACTCACTTAATCCTCACAACAGCTGAATAAGGTAGTGCTATCCTTAGCCTCATTTCTCATTTGACAAATGAATAAATTAAAGTGTAAAGAGGTCTAAATACCATAGTTGATCTTATGCAGTTCAATCCCAGACTTGTGCTCATCACCATGCTTGAACATTTTCAGCCCTAGTGCTTGGTGGATTTCTGGTCACTAAAGCAGACATTCTTTGCAAGAGAGGTTGTAGACTAACAGGTGATTGAGATTTCCTATCATGCAAGCAGAATAAATAATCTGGTAGGCTTGTTTAAGCACACAGCAAAAGTCCTGAACCCTAGCAACTGCCATATCTAGTTTTCTGAGCAATGAACCATTACATAATGATGAGTCCAGGATGTGATTTTTTTTAAGTCCTTTTTTTTTTTTATCGGCCCAGAGTAAGAGACGCAACATTTATTTAGTACCTATCATGGGCAAGATCTTTATAGCACTATTCTATTTAATACTCCCCCAAACTCTGATATAAGGATCACTGATCGAATTTTATGTATGAGAAGACTTAAGCCGAGAAAGATTTAGAAACTTGCTCAAGGACACATAGGTAGTAAAAATGAAGCTAATTCTTTTAGATTCATGCCCCTTGTTCTTAAAAATGAAAGAAGAAAGGAAAGCAAGGACAAGATGATGGTGGTAAATGAAACAGCATCTAACAATTGTGCAGTGCTGTAGAATTTCTAGGGCCACTTCACATCCTCTTCTGGAATGAACAGACAAATAAAATTAAGTTTATAAAGGGAATTCTAAGAATAATCAATAGCTAAAAGCAAAAGCATGTTTATTGTGTTTGGTCCACAAATAACTTGATCACCAACTATGTGCCAGGCCTGGAGAGAGGGTCTAGAAATAAAGTGGTGAACATCATAGGCTAGAAAACAGACTAAAAGAAAATGACAAGATCTACAATAAAATGTGATGAGGATTATTATAGAAAATTATAGATTTTTACAGTAAGGGGACACAACCCAATTTAGGGCACCAGATAATGTTTCCAGAATAATATATATTTAAGATAAGGCCAGAAACAATAAGCTGAAGTTTTTTTAAAATAATATTTAAATATATATGTTTCTACATTGGTTTGTTCTAACTTTGCGCTAAAAGAACCCTAAAGTGTTACATAAAAATATTAAAATGTTCCAGATGATTATAACAAGCATATTATAAAGACAGCAACTTTAGGAATTCATTTTATTCTTGCTATAATAAAATAGGAAATATACATCGGGGATAAACCTGTATCGAAAGTCCAAGGCAATTATTTTATGACTCATTGAACACTTGAGGATAATTTATTGTCATCTAGCTGTCAAGTACTAAGCAGTGAGTATGAATCATTGAAAGGTCAATGTGATTCTTGAAAGGAATCGCTCCAATCTGGGTATAGCCAAGTGTTTTGATCCTCTTGAATCTTTTTTGCCTGGTGCCACTGTGTACCTTGTATGGCACTTCTTAACAAATGACTATTAGAATAAGATGATCCCTTTCCAGACATTTTCTACATTTAAAGAGAGTTTTAAAAAGTCATCTAGTCACTATAATTTTAAATAAGGGTTGAGCATTCGTGAGGTTTTCAAAAACTCACACTTTTCTTCAGCACATTGTTGTAAATGCTGAAGTAGCTTATCATACAACAGGAGTCTATACATCTAATACCTTTTTCTGCCTCTTCAGGCTC